GACATGAAGTTTTATGCTGCAGAAATGCTGCAAGAGAAGTTTGCCACAAAGGACGCCAGTCAGGGCAGGAAGAGGGCTGGCACTACCAGAAATATGCTTTTATATGATGTGACAGACAACACTCCTGCTTTTATTAAGCAATTAATAAAGTAAGTAGCAATTGTCTTTATTGTCTTCAAGTTTCCACAGAGACCACGGCAACACAATTGCTGAAGTACCTCGGGTTTGTTGGAGATAAGGAGCCATTCACCTCCACCCAGTTCAAAAACTTTGTTGACGAACTGCGACAGAGAGGTGTGGGGGTGAGTGGCCTTATCACCAATGTCGAATGCATTGCAAAGTCTCTAGTAGACTCGAAGGAGAAGGAGTGAGTCGATTCACAATTAATTCTTGTAATATTTTCTTTATCTTTCAGTCTCGAGGACTTCATCACGGAACTAAAGCAGTTCCTCATGGAACAAAGGGTTATTAAAAAGACGAACCTTAAGAAGGAGAAAAGACTCCTCTGCCCTCAGAGTCAGGCAATAGAGAAGTTCCTCTCGTCACAAGATGTCACAAAAGTCTTGGATCAGATTAGTAAAACAAGCGTAACAGTGTAAAAAATATTCCTATAATTGATTTCACCACCTTGCAAGTACAGCTTGATTATTATTAAGACTTATAGAGGCTCTCTCTACCTTGTGATGCTTGTAGAGAAGTCTTTAGACAGTATCTTTATGTTCTCTTGCTGTTAGAAAGCTCAAAACTTTGTCCATGTGTAATCCGCCATTTTGTTTGCCGTGGCCACACCCACTACGTAAAGAGCGTGGGCGGGTGGTTGCTAAGGCTTATGAATTTTGTTATTTCTCCAATACAACATGTATAGAAGAAATGTAAGTGTGGACATACAAATATATATACAAACATCGCACGTGGGTGAAATCAATTATAGGAACGACCCTGGGGGCTATGCCCCCAGGTCGTTAAAAAGGAAATTGGATACAGATGATGAAAGAAAGATATTGAAAGCGTACCTCCTAAGGAGACAAGATGGCTTGTTAGAGACTTTGTAAGTATATGTAAAATCCATATAATTTTGAAAATGCAATTAGACTAGATCAAGAAGAAGACGAGGATGATGAAGAAACGACAATAGATCAAGCAAGGGAGGTGTTCGGAATTCCCAGCATCAAGCCGATCCTAAAGATTGATCAGGCAGATGTGGGAGTTCCATGTCTCTTAACAGATGATGGAAGGGAAGTTGCTGCAAAGACAGACAGGGTGACGTGGAGTGCAGAGGAGAGGGAGGCACTCAAAACGTTATTTAGATCAACACCAAGGCAATTCAATGGCAAAAAGCCCCCAGTAGGATATATAAGCACCGTGCTTAAAGGCGGATTTACAATATGACATTGGCTGAGCGTAATGTAACGTTTATGTATCAATGTATTCTCATCGTCAAAAACGCAGCGTGTTGAATCATTTACAATTTAGCGTACTCGTCGTAAACTTATTAATAATTATTATTCATAATTCGGAAACACACCTATTTAAAGATGGCTGCCGTTAGTTCTGGTGGAGATGCGAGTGAAGATGAGCTTTCTGTAGTTGTTATTTCTGCCATTTTACTTCGAAGAAGAAGGTCAAAGCGTCCTAAAAGGTTTTGGATACGTCCTATTTTAA